ATTTTTTGGCATCAAAACAAATGTGTCCTTTAATTCCATTTTTCCATGAACTTTTTGAAGTACCCTCATACACCTGAAGTAGTATTGTTGCATCATATGGTAACTATTTTTTAGTTTTTTGAGAAACTGCTGTTTTCCATAGCAATTGTACCATTTTCTGTTCCCACCAACAGTTCCCAAGGGTTCCAATTTCTCCACATTCCTGTCAACATTGGTTATTTTATGTTTTTTAAAATTATTGTAGCCATCTGACCACCTGCCTTGCCCAAGGTCACATACCCTTCCTGGGGGCAGCCTGCATTTAGTGACTGGTATTTGCAAGGAACACAAGTTTGGCCCACTCAGTACAACTCAGAAGAGCCTCTCAACTCCAGAGTTCCCGAAGGGATCAGCTGAGACCTTTGTTAGCCTGTACACAGTCCAGTTTCTTCCTCAGCCTCATCCTGCTCCCTTCATTCTTGCATCGGTGGTGATCCTGATATCCAATCAACTTTTTGCATGCAAATCTCTTAAGAGTTTTTTCCCAGCAAATCCAACCTGCAACACTTAGTAAAGAAATTCTTTCCTCTCCCTTTCCTGATACTTTCCTGTATTTTTCCTCTTCATTTTTATGTTTGATATTTGAATTTTTTTAAAGATTTATTTTATTTATTTGAAAGACAGAGTTACAGAAAGAGGCAGAAACAGAGAGAGGTCTTTCACCCACTGGCTCACTCCCCAGATGGCTGCAACAGCTGGAGCCACGTCAATCCGAAGCCAGGAGCCAGGAGCTTCTTCCAGGTCTCCCACGTGGGTGCAGGAGCCCAAGGACTTGGGCCATCCTCCGCTGCTTTCCCAGGCCATAGCAGAGAGCTGGGTCAGAAGTGGAGCAGCCAGGTCTCGAATCGGCGCCCATATGGGATGCCGGCGCTTCAGGCCAAGGTGTTAACCTGCTGTGCCACAGCGCTGGCCCCCTGATATTTGAATTTTTAATTACATTTGGAGTTTATTTTTTTACATAATAAGAGATAGGGATCTGATTGTATTTTCTCATTGTACTAGGCTAATTTTCCCATATCATATACTAAATAATTCATCATTTATTCAATGGTTTGTGACATTTCTCCATCATATAATAAATTCCCAAGATACTCAGGCCTGGTTCTTTCTACTCTGCTCCCTTGGCTTGAAGACCTGATATTATCACACTGTTTCAAGTACTTTGGTTTATTTTTCAAAACTTCTCTTATATAGTTACCAAATATATTTCAGAATCACTTTATTCATTTCTCTCCAAAAAGCCTCCTGGAATTTTTCTTAAAATTATATTGCATTTAAATATTAATTTTTGTGAAATTAAATCTTTAAAATGTTAAGTCATCCCTTCTGATAGCATGGTAGTTTGCTTCATTTATTTTGGTATTTGGTATTTTTTAATATCCTTTAGTAGTTTAATGCCATTTTTCCATAATCACTTTCTGTATTATTTATTGGCTTAATTTCTGAATGTTATATGGCTTTGTTGGTGTTTAAATGTCATTATATATTTTCTATTAAAATGTGTAATTGATAATTGTTGATTTGGAGAAATGAAATTTATTTTTAATAAAAAAAAAGAAATTCTCTTTTTATATTCTTTCTATTGTTTCATTGGTAGGGCACTTGTTTTTCTCTATTTTCTTCAATTGTAAATGTTAAAATGGCTAAAAATTTCTCCTGGAGGACTGGCCAAATTCATGCAAATGATGATGTTCAGAGAGCAAGTTTTGAAGGGTTGTGTTTTTTAACTTTAATGGCCTTTAAGAAAAGAATAGTATGGTGGATAAAAATTCTGGAGAATAACATATTGAAAGTGTCCTTTTAGACACATGACTCTGCTACTGAGTTCTTCGTTTCCATTTCCATTTTAAGTTACCTGACCCAGTTCTTGACTTTCTCTTTTTCCTTATCTAATTCGTTCTTTGGTTGTATACTTGGGCAATTCCAGATGTTCCAAAACTATCTGAATTTTCCTACCCTCAAAACTCAAGTTGCTTAAATTCCTGCTACTGCTTCCAGAAAGTGGTCAGAAAAAATAATTTACACAAGGCTGTGAAAACTTGTCATTTCTTATGGTCTGAACCCTTGGGGAGCTGAATATATTATCCCACAGATTTATTGCTTGGGTCTCTAGGAAAATTATGATTTTATCTATCAATTTAGGGAATACACCAGGTATACTGCCAAGTTTGTTTTTGTTTAAAGGTAATATATTACATGAAATTTACATTTTTGTGGTGCAGCCATTAGAGGCTTCCAGTGTTCCTAACATTAACTAGTTAGTAATTGTTCAGAGACCTTTTATTCTCTGAGCTGGATTGCTCTCCCCTTCCATCTATCTATTTCTCTATTCATCCTGCACACATGCATCCACAGATCTGTCTTTCATCCAATTAGTTATTCACTAATTCAACAAACACTAATGAGAAAGGTACACCCTGTGACAGGAATGGTGCTGGGGACGTCTGAGGAATAAATACAAAAGACTGACGTTTGTCTAGAGGAACTAATAGTCTAATACAGGATTTTTACCTTGGCACCATCGACATTTGGGACTGGGTCATTCTTTGTTTTGTGTGTGTGTGTATGGGGGGCTACCCTATGACTGAAGGTTGCATAGTAGTGTCCCCAGGCTATGCTAACTAGATGTTAGTGTCATGTACTGTATCCTATCACTTGCAGTTGTGGCAACCATAAATGTTTCCAGTCATTGCTGAATTACCCTGGAGGGTTATAGCATCCTAGGTTCAGAACCATTGGATTGATGAGAGAGACTTAAGAGGTCATAATTTTCTTATATTTTGATGCATTACAATAAAGTGCACAAAGGAAGTGTAGTCTATCTGCATATAATGATCTCTGATCAATGCTAACATACTTCTACAAAATAGTTCTTAGTTCAGTCACAAAAGAAGAGATCTCATATTTGAGGAAGTAATTCATTACTGCTGAATTTACTTTGTTATGCAGTAACTTTAGTAACTCCATGTGAGAGATCCTAATTCAGCTGAATAAACAAGCAGAATTCATTGTTGCTTTTCCTTACATGAAATAAAGTTTAATAGAAATTTTAAAAAAATGTTAAATAAATGACAAATTATTTAAAATGACCCAGGATATGGTATAGTAAGTAAAGAATATTTTTCTTTTTTCACTTCAAAATTCTTGAAAATGTTGTCATAATATTTTCTGTCCTTACCATTACTTATGGTATTTTTGTAGCATTGGACTTTTTGTGCAAGAGATTATTTCACTTTATTTGTCCCAGATTCCCTTCTGAAAGCCTCAAATATCTCCATATTTTGGGGTTCTTACTGAACTTTGTGCCTAAATGTATATTTACTCTATCAACATTGTTCATAATTTTGTACATTTGAAGTCTTTTCTATTTATTTTCAAATAAAAATTCACCAGTGAGATGCAGTGTTTTACAAGCCCCAAATAGTTATGAGTATCTGTAGACCTGAAAATTTCTCTATCATTTTATAGAATTGTCCTGTCAGTCCCATTTTTTAATAACACCCACCCCCCCAAAAAAAAACACTCCCAATACTACCCTATTTTTCCTTGCTTAATTTTCTCCATAGCAAAATTACCATCTAACAGCACATATATCTTTATTTATTGATTATTTAATTGTCTTTTTTGATCAAAACACATGTATGTGGATGGATTCACCTATATGAGTACTTTCCTATTTTAATTAAATTTGTCTTTATTTATTTATTTGAAAGTCAGACTTACACAGAGAGAGGGAGAGACAGAAACTTTCATCTGCTGGTTCACTCTCCAGATGACTGCAATGCCCAGGGCTGAGTGGATCTCCTATGTGGGTAACAGAGGTCCATAGTACTTGTTAGGATGCTGTTTTTCCCAGGCCATTAACAGGGAGATGGACCAGAAGTGGACCGGCTGGGTATTGAACCAGCACCCATATGGGATGCTGGAATTGTAGGCAGTGGCTTAACCCTCTACACAATGCCAGTCCGAGTATTCTTCTTTTTATTTTTTAAAAAGATTTATTTATTTATTTGAAAGGCAGAGTACAAAGAGGCAGAAGCAGAGAGAAAGAGAGGTCTTCCATCGGCTGGTTTTACTCCCCAGTTGGAGCTGTGCCGATCCAAATCCAGGAGCCAGGAGCTTCTTCTGGGTCTCCCACATAGGTGCAGGTGCCCAAGGACTTGGGCCATCTTCTACTGTCTTCCCAGGCTACAGCAGACAGCTGGATTGGAAGTGGAACAGCTGCGACTTGAACCGGCTTGGGATGCCAGCACTGTAGGCAGCAGCTTTACCCAGAATGCTACAGCGCCAGCCCCCACGAGTATTATTTTTGACAATAATCGTGGTGCTTTAGACCAGTTCCTGGCACATAATGGAATGAATTAATAGGAACTATTTCATTTTAATCATTAATTCACAAAAAACCCATTTTGATAACTTTTTATGTTTAAGACATTGTATGAACAAATTATGGAGACAGAAATGCAGAGGAATAATTATTGATAGGTTTGATTAACATATAGTCCTGGGGGAAAATAAACATGTGGCAATAAGTTTAGGAAATAAATTTAGGCATGAGGAAGATGTGACTGATGAGGTCAGTCTGGATATCAAACAATGAATAATATCTTGAGAAATATGAAATAGGAAAAGATAATTTCTGACTTTAGAAACAAAACCAGAGTCACAGAAATCTTCACATATACAACAATTTCACATCAGTGCTACTTGTTTGTGTTTTTGACAGGTGTGGTATGGGCACTGGGCCTCTAGATCCTTCACCATTCCTCTTGGTAGTAAGCCCATGTAACGATTCATTAACTGCTATGTGTAACAGCAGCATTAGTGGCCACAAGAATGCTACTCAGTTGTTGTGAAATGTTCAGGTAATATTTGAATTCCATAATTTATATACTTCTCCAAAGAGGACATTCATATAATGGTGTTTATTTCAATTTTTTCTTTTTTCACCTTAGGGAACCTGAGAGTGAATCTACCAAATGAGCTAATGAATGGAGGAAATCACTCAGTAGTGTCTGAATTTGTGTTCCTGGGACTCTCCAATTCCTGGGAGATTCAGATTTTTCTTTTTTGTTTTTCTTGTCTCTTCTATGTTTCTAGTTTGACAGGAAACTTCCTCATAGTCATCACTGTATCCTTTGACCGTTACTTGTACTCCCCCATGTACTTTCTGCTGGCCAACCTTTCTGTTATTGATTTGATATTTTGCTCCGTTGCAGCACCCAAGATGATTTGTGATCTTTTCAAGGAGAAGAAAGTCATCTCTTTCGGGGGCTGTATGGCTCAGATCTTTCTCAACCATGCTGTTGGGGGTACTGAGATGGTGCTGCTCATAGCCATGGCCTTTGACAGATACGTGGCCATATGCAAGCCTCTCCACTACTTGACCATCATGAGCTCACGAATGTGCACTTTGATACTAGTCGTTGCCTGGGTCATCGGTTTCATCCACTCACTGAGCCAGCTGGTGTTTGTTGTAAACTTGCCCTTCTGTGGCCCTAATGTGTTAGACAGCTTTTACTGTGACCTCCCTCGAATCATCAAACTCGCTTGCACAGATACCTATAAACTTGAGTTTATGGTCTCTGCTAACAGTGGCTTCATTTCCTTAGGTGCTTTCTTCTTGCTCATCCTCTCATACATCTTCCTCCTGTCCTCTCTTCAGAAACACTCCTCAGGAGGTTCATCCAAGGCACTTTCTACTCTGTCAGCTCATATTACTGTGGTGATTTTATTCTTTGGTCCACTTATATTTTTCTACACGTCGCCATCTCCCTCAACACATCTGGACAAATTTCTAGCCATATTTGATGCACTTGTGACCCCTTTACTAAATCCGGTCATCTACACATTCAGGAACAGAGAGATGAAGAATGCAATGAAGAGAGTATTCAGGAGGGTCATGGCTTCTTAGAAGAATCGCTGAAATGGCTTGGTTGAAATATGAAGATTCCAAGTGACTGTTGCAAGTCTATCAGAGCCAGTGCTTATGGGGAAAGGACTTTCTACTTGCCAACATTGTGAGTGCTCATGGAACTTCATCGCTTATAGGGTCTGTCTTGTTACAACTGGAGAATGGGTGACATTCCTCCTTGAAGAGAAAGAAGGATTTTTACCTAAAATATATAGAGATAAAATTATATCGACTCTTGTTTTTTATTTTCTGAAAGAACTGTGTCAATTAAAAAATAATAGCTTTCACAGATATTAGATAATTGTGTAAATAACTTATTTCTCAGGAAAACTGTACACTGCTTTCAAGCCTTCCTGCCCCATAATTGGTGTACTTGTTAGCAGCATGCTTTCCTATCTGCTTGCATCCCATAGATCTTTTTCATTTGTTTGGCTTTGCTATGTCAGCCTTTCAATTATGGGTGAAAAGGATAAATGTTTAGGATTTGTGACCTTTTACATATTCTGATCCAAAGATCTTGCTTTCATGTTTTGTTGGATATTTTTTCTACCTTATTTTCAGTCAAGTAGATCTGGTGTTGGCACATTTTTTTTTTCTCTGTGAGGAGTTACACATAGTTTCATCTTTGGGGGCTATGTGGTCTCCTTTGCAACCATTCAATTCTGCTGTTGTAATGTGGACAATGCAAACCTGAATAGGCATGGCTGAATTCCAATAAAACTTTATTTACAAAAACAGAAGATAGGTTGAATCTGACTCAACGGTATGTTTGTCAACTTCTAAAGTAGATTTTGTTCAACATACAAATTTGACTATTATTCTAGGTATCATAGTCCTTATTTTATAACAGGAGTCTAAAATGAAAGGCATTATAGCATAACACACAATTTATGATTAAAACATAGACATTCTGGTCCCAATAATATCAACTAACTTGCTATGCTATCTAACTCACTTGATCTGTCTATAATTCAATTCTCTTTTTAAAGGTGGCAGCCTCTATGGTATCTAACTCACTTGATCTGTCTATGATTCAATTCTCTTTTTAAAGGTGGCAGCCTACAGGGTCTTTAAGATGCTTAAGTCAGATGGTGTTTGCAAAGACTTTGGTGGGGTTGACACTATGGCCCCAGCAGGTTTCCTGCCTACAGTGCCAGCATCTCACATGGGACCAGGCTGCTCCATTTCTGATCCAGCTCACTGCTTACGCACCTGGGAAAGCAGCAGAAGATGGCCCAAGTGCTTGAGCCCCTGCACCCTCGTGAAAACTTTGAAGAAGCTCCTGACTCTGGTTTTGGCCTGGCCCAACCCTGGGCATTGTGAGCATGTGGGGAGTGAACCAGACTTTCCCAATGTTCTCTTCTAGTAATTTGATGATATCAGGTCATAGAGCGAGATCCTTGATCCACTTAGTGTTGGTTTTGTATAAGGTGCAGGGTAGGGGTCATGCTTCCTACTTCTGCATGTGAAGATGCAATTTTATCAGCACCATTTGTTGAAGGAGCTGTCCTTTCTCCAGAGATCTATTTTAGCATGTTTGTATGTTTGTCAGAGGTTAGTTGGTTGTAGCTGCATGGGTCATTTTCTGGGCTTTCTAGTCTGTTCCATTGGTCTGCATGTCTATTTTTGTGCTAATATCAGGCATCTTGATTATAACTGCTCTGTATGTTGATATTGAAGTCTGGTATTGTGATGCCTCTGGTTTTGCTTTTGTTGTTCAAGACTTTCTTTCTTTTCTTTTCTTTTCTTTTATTTTACTATTCAGGATCTCTTGTGTTTCCATAGGAATTACAGCATCATTTTTTTCTAGATCTGAGAAGAATGTCATTGGTATTTTGATTGGAATCACATTGAATCTGCAAATTGCTTTGGGTAGTATGGTCATTTTGATGATGTTAAGTCTTCCAATCCATGAACATGGAAGATTTTGTATTTTTGTGTGTCTTCTTCTATTTATTTCTTTAATGTTTTATAATTTTCATTGTAGAGATCTTTCACATCCTTGGTTAAATTTATTCCAAGATATTGAAATTTTTTGTAGCTATTATGAATGGAACTGAACTTACATATTGTTTTTCAGCCATGGCATTATTTATACACAAAGGCCATTGATTTTTGTGTGTTGATTTTATATCCTACAATTTTATCAAACTCCCTTATGAGTTCCAGCCATCTTTCAGTGGAGTCTTTAGGATCCCCTATAGGTATAAAATCATGTCATCTGCAAACAGGGATAATTTGACTTCCTGCTTTCCTATTTGTATCCTTTTCTTTTTCTTATCTAATGGTTCTTTCTAAAATGTCCAGGATTGTATTGAAAGTGGGCATCTGTGTCTGGTTCTGCATTTTGTGGAAATGCTCCCAAATTTTCACTATTCAGAATGATGCTAGCTGTGGGTGTGTTGTACATTGCTTTGATTGTATTAAAGAATGCTCCTTCTATACCCAACTGCTTAAGGTTTTTATCTTGAAAGATGCTGAATTTTATCAAATGCTTTCTCTGCATCTATTGAAATAATCATATAGCTTTATTACCCAGTTTTTTAATGTGATGGATCACATTAATTTATTTGTGATTATTGAACCGTCCCTGCGTACCATGGATAAATCCCACTTGGTCAGAGTGAATGATCTTTTTGATGTGTTTTTGGATTTGATTAGCTAATATGTTGTTGAGGATTTTTGCATCTATGTTCATCAGGATATAGGTCTATAGTTCTCTTTCTCTGCTGTATCTTTTCTAGTTTAGAAATTAAGGTGATGCTGTCCTCACAGAAGGATTTTGGGAGGATTCCTTCCATTTCAGCTATTTTGAAAATAATTAAAATTAATTCTTCATTAGAAGTCTGGTATAATTCAGCAGTGAAGTCGTGTGGTCCTGGGCTTTTCTTTGTTTGGACGGTCTTTATTACTGATTCAATCTCCCAATCATCAAGTTGGTTATTGGTTTATTTACATTTTCTGTGTCTTCATGACTCAGTTTTTCTAGATTGTATGTGTCCAGCAATCTATTTAGTTCTTCAGGATTTTCCAATTTGTTGGCATATAGCTGTTTGTAGAAATTCCCTTGTGATTCTTTTTTTTTGAAGTTCTGATCAATAGTATTTATTTATTTTTCTACAAAGAAACCATTTATTTAATGAGTACAAATTTCATAAGTGATTCTTCCCATCATACCCACCCTCCCACCACCACTCTCACTCTACCTCCTCCTGCCTCTCCTATTCCCAGTGCCATTCTCCATTAAAAAAAGACAACAAGAATAAAAAACTGTTCCTTGACACTCAGGATAAGACGTGTTCAAACCATTGCTTCTCAAAGTGTCAATTTCACTTCTACAGGTTTCATTTTAGGTGCTCTGTTAGTTCCCACAGATCAGGGAGAATATATGATATTTGTCTCTTTGGGACTGGCTTATTTCACTAACTATGATGTTTTCCAGATTCACCCACTATGTTGCAGATAACCAGATTTCAATTTTTTTACTGCTATGTAGTATTCCATAGAGTACATATCCCATAATTCTTAATCCAGTCTACTGTTGATGGGCATTTAGGTTGATTCCATGTCTAAGCTATTGTGAATTGAGCTGCAATATACATGGGGGTACAGATAAAAGTTTCATATGCTGATTTCATTCCTCTTGGGTAAATTCTCAGGAGTGGGATGGCTGGGTCTTATGGAAGGTCTGTATTCAGGTTTCTGAGGTATCTCCAAACTGATTTCCATAGTGGCTTTACCAGTTTACATTCCCACCAACAGTGGGTTAGTGTCCCTTTTACCCCACATCCTTGCCAGCATTTGTTGTTGGTAGATTTCTGTATGAGAGCCATTCTAACTGGGGTGAGGTGAAACCTCATTGTGGTTTTGATTTGCATTTCCCTGATTGCTAGTGATCCTGAACATTTTTTCATGTGTCTGTTGGCCGTTGGGTTTCCTCTTTTGAAAAATGTCTGTTTAGGTCCTTGGCTGATCTCTTAAGTGGGTTGTTTGTTTTGTTGTTGTGGAGTTTCTTGATCTCTCTATGTATTCTGGTTATTAACCCTTTATCTGTTGCATAGTTTGTAATTGTGGAGCAGATGGGACTCCGGCACCCACATGGGAGGCCCGTACTACAGCACTGTTTCTGCCTGGTAGGTCACAGCACCAGGCCCTCCATTTTTTCTGATTTCTTTTTCTTTTTGTTCTGACTGATATATTTCCAAAGATTTGTCTTCTAACTTGGATATGTTCTATTTTTTGCCTCACCAAATTTGTTGAGGTTTTATACTGTACTTTTATTTGACATATTGAATTCTTCATTTCTGATATTTCTGTTTGATTTCTCTTCAATACCTCAATCTGCTGTGAATGCTTTTTCCTCTAGCCATGTATGGATTTCTTTAACTTACGAATTTACTTCTCATTGCTTCTGAGTTATCCTATGATCAATCTTTTGTATTCCTTTTCAAGCATTCCATCAATCCCTAAGGTCTTCTTCACATTCTATTTTTTTCAGAAAGCTTTTAGTTATTAAATATAAATTTCATAGGTACAGCTTTTGGAATATAGCTGTTCTTCCCCCATATCCACCCTCCCACCCTAATCCTGTCCCACCTCCTACACCCTCTCCCATCCCATTCTTAATTAAGATTAATTTTTAATTATCTTTATATACAGAAGATCAACTCTTTACTGAGTAAAGATTTCAACATTTTGCACCCACACAGACACACAAAGTATAAAATACTGTTTGAAGACAAGTTTGACTGTTAATTCTCATAGCACAACTCATTATGGACAGAGGTCATACATGGGGCGCAAGTGCACAGTGGCTCCTGTTCTTGGTAAGTCCAAGGGAACATGTGTCAAACTATACATCTCCTCCCTCTCTTTTTCCCATTTTTATGTTTAACAGGGATCGACTTTCAATTGGATTTAAACACCTAAGAATAATTCTGGTCTTTACATTCTAATACTGAAGTATTGTTGTGTTCTTTTGAGGGAGTCATGTTGCCTTCTTTATTCTTGTTTCTTGAATTTCTGCATTTATTTTTAGGCATTTGTGGAAATACTTGTTGGTTTTCTGCTATGGCTTAGTTGGGTGTCTGCTTTTTCAGTGAATATCTAGAGGTCCATGCTGGATATGGCTGGGGAGTCTGGTCAGTGCTCCAGGATGACATTCACTTGGGGTTGCTGGACCTCTATTGTCAGCAGGGGGAGCGTAAGATCCCCTCTGTTGGCATAACCACACCCTCCCCTCCTCTCTCCAAGGTGATAAATGCCTAGTGTTAGCCCACAATGGATGCAGCTCTCACCAATGGTGCTGAATGAACTGCGCAGTGATTCTGTGCAGTCCTGTGTGAGCACTGGTCCTGCTGCAATGACCACCCACCCTGGGCAGTCTCCATGTTTTCCTGGAGACCCAGCACCCTGCACCCTATTGTGAAGTCACATGCTTCCCGGAGTCTCAGCACACGAGTCTCCCCAGTCTTGGGGTGCAGAGGTTCTGCTCTGCCCTGCTAGCCTGTCCCATCCATGGAGAGAGCAGAGACATTGCCACCGCCAGCTGCCTGTGGGTGCTCCACCTTGGC